GACCAGCCTGCCCGTCCTCCCGGGAGACGCTGAACCTGTGAGGTGAGGCCCTGGAAAGCCACTCGCTCACCTTCTCGAAAGTGCCCAGCAGCACGTGGCAATGGCCGAAATACTCTGGAAGGAACGAAGGCACAGGATGGAGAGGCAAACCAAACGACGCACCCGCCGCCGGTCGGCCCTCCCCGACTCCCCGCGGCTGAACCCGGTGTCCCTGTCCGCCGAGGGCCTCGGGAACAGGAGTGGGGGAGGGGGTGCAGACACTGCCTGACACCTACGGAGGCCTTGGGCCACCCACGGGCAGCGTGTCGGCCAAAGAAGACACAGGGCGTCCATACCGTCTCCTTCGTCCACCACGGCATGGACCACCAGCGGGTAGACCTCCCGGTCCAGATCGAAGCCGAGCTGGAGGGAAAGCAGAGGGAGGAAGAAGAAAGCTCATGTTGCCATGGCACAGGGCCCGTCGGAAAGGCGGGCGTGGCCAAGGACCTCATCTCTGCCGGCCGGCGGGGCTCGGGGGTGAGCACCGACCTAGGAACCAGCAGGTCACGGCTCGATTCCAGGTCAGGGCACATGCCCAGGGTTTGGGCTGGATTCCCAGTAGGGGGCGTACAGGAGGCAGCCGATCAATGATTCTCTCTCATTGATGTTTCTATCTCTCTCTCTCTCTGAAATCAATCTATCTATCTATCTATCTATCTATCTATCTATCTATCCATCTATAATATAGGCTCCCAGGGTGGGTAGGGCCTTTTGAGATTCTATATGAATCTAAATATAGAATCTATATGAATACACACACACACACACACACACACACACACACACACGTATATTTTAAACGAACCTCATCTCTGCTCCTCCACAACCTCATCACTACCCATGTCCCTTTGACGGACGGAAGGCCACCAGTTTCTCTTTAAAATCTCCTAGAGACACAGCCTTGTAGCCTCCAGGCTCTTTTCTCTGAGTGTGGATTTCTTGAAACGCCCTGGGCTAACGGGCTGACCCATGTCCCTTTGACGGACGGAAGGCCACCAGTTTCTCTTTAAAATCTCCTAGAGGCACAGCCTTGTAGCCTCCAATTCTTTTCTCTGAGCGTGGATTTCTTGAAACGCCCCGGGCTAACGGGCTAGTTTGGAAGAGGAAAGTTTGAGGTTGGGCGTATCCTTAGGGTGTGAAGGCGTTAAAGGCTGAAGGTGAGCATGGCCTCTGAGCGCCTGGGAGTCAGTCCCTTTGCTGCTGGCCGTGGTCCTAACGCGCTCCCGGGCCCATCCAGGCCCCCGTGGGGAACCTGCCCCGTGTCCTCTCCCACCAGGGCGGCTCACCTCCTCCTCGGCCCACTCGGAGGGGTCCACGGTGTGGGAGGGCAGGCAGAACTGCTGGCACACACCGCGCTTGTAGTGCACCGTCTCCGACTGCAGGCTGTTGTCTTTGGGGATGTAGCTATCGATCAAAAGTCGGGAGCAAAGCAAGAGTCAGTGTGTGGCCCAGGCGGCCCTGCCATTTCCTGCCTCATGCCTGCTCTCAGTCACCCACAGGCGCCCGGAATGACACCGACGGACCAGACCTATCACCTACGTCCTCGGCTCGGCTGGGGAATGCGATTAAACTCGTCTATGCAGCCACCGGCCACCAGGGTCGCTTCACAGGGTTCCAACAGCATCTTAACGACCTGAAGGCCCCGCTGCCACCTGCCACGGCACCCACATGGCACAACTTAAAGGGAAACGGGCAGAAGTGGGGTCTCTATGCCCGGCCGGTGTGGCTCAGTGGGTGAGCATCAGTCTATGGACCAGGAGGTCACGGTCCGATTCCCAGTCAGGCAGGGCACACGACTGGGTTGCACCTCGATCCCCAATAGCGGGCGAGCAGGAGGCAGCCAATCAATAATTCTCTCTCATCAGTGATGTTTCTATCTCGCTCTCCCTTTCCTTCCTCTCTGAAATCAACAAAAATATTTTTTTAAAAAAAGAAGTAGAGCCCAACCGGTTTGGCTCAGTGGATAAGAGCGTCCTCTCATCAGTGATGTTTCTATCTCTCTCTCCCTTTCCTTCCTCTCCAAAAAATATTTTTTTTAAAAAAGAAGTAGAGCCCAGCCGGTTTGTCTCAGTGGATAAGAGCGTTGGCCTACAGACTGAAGGTCCCAGGTTCGATTCCGACCAAGGGCACAGGTCTAGGTTGCAGGCTTGATTCCCAGTAGGGGGCGTGCAGGAGGCAGCTGATCAATGATTCTCTCTCATCATTGAAGTTTCTATCTCTCTATCCCTCTCCCTTCCTCTCTAAAAATCAATAAAAAATATTTTTTTTAAAAGAAAAAGAAGTAGGGTCTGCAGAAGAAAGTCCATGTTCAAGAGCCAGATCTCGCCTGTGAGGGCATGAGGCACGGGCCCTGAGCTGGCCGGGGAGCAGGCGGCTCCCCGGTCCCGTCCGTACCTGGCGATGCCGTTCTGGAACTCCTCGGTGGCCTGGTAGTAGATGGTGATGGCCACGCGGGCGTCGGTGTCGAAGGTGAACTCCACGTTGTAGTGGACTTTGGCTCTGCCGGCCTCGGCCCCAGGGGTCTTCACCTCCTCCGCGCACCTACAAGCACCAGGCCTCAGCGTTTGGCGGGCAGCCAGCCAGCATTTAAACTGTATCCCTTTTTCAAAACCTTAACATATGGTGGGCTGCTCTGCGGTCCTCAGCCCCGCCCTCCGCCCTCCGCCCTCCTCGGGGATGACGGCAGAGGACGTCACTGCCGCCGGGCGGGTGGTATCGCTGATACTTCACGACTCGACAGCCAGCGTCCTTGCGCCTTTGCCCGACTTCATCTATGTTTACTTTTCATGGGAATCGAAGGTTCTAGTCACATAGTTGACATAGTTTCCACATAATTTCCACTCCCCCTTCCGCCTCTTCAAACCTATCTTTCCCCCGGAGAGAACGAGCCTTAGCAGAGGCAGCATCTGCTTAAAACTGACACTGAAGCCCTCGCCGGTGTGGGTCAGTGGATAGAGCGCCAGCCTGCGGACTGAAGGGTCGGATTCCGGTCAAGGGCACATGCCCAGGTGGTGGGCTCGATCCCCAGTAGGGGACGTGCAGGAGGCAGCCGATCCATGATTCTCTCTCATCACTGATGTTTCTCTCTCTCTCTCCCTCTCCCTTCTGCTCTGTAATCAATAAAAACATATTTTAAAAACACACAAAACGACTGACACTGTCTCAGGGACAGCACAGAGAAGGCAGATCAGAGACAATTAATAATAATGATGGGCCTGAAGCAGCCGACCCCGGGCACTCTGAGTGTCTGGGTGTATGAGGTTAAGAATAAATTTAAAAGTAAATATAATCAATGAATACGGACTTCCTATTCCAAGTTCAAAGAGCTCCTCTTTACACAGGCTTGTGGAGGTCTCTGCAAGATTCACTCTCTCTCCCAATAATTCTTCTTTTAAAAGAAATTCAGCCGCATGGCGGCTGCCAGGAAAGGGGCAGTGCTCGCCCTCACGGACGATGAGGTAAAGCCGAACAGTCTCGATGCAGAGCCCAACCTAAGCAGGGACGATGAGGTGAAGCCGAACAGTCTCGATGCAGAGCCCGACCTAAGCAGACGCGGGTCAGGCTCTGGGGCCGGCACCCCTGCTCTGCGTGGCTCTGCGGGGCGGGCTGCCAGAGGAGGGCCCTGGCCTGGCCCCATGGAGCGCTGGGACCTGCGGACTTACTTGACGAGCCGCAGTGTGTCCTTGCGGATGTTGACCAGGCTTCTCAGCGTCTTCACTGGCTCCTGGGGTGGCGGGGCGGCGTAAGGAAACTGCCAGGGAAAGCGGGAGAAGACAGCGGTGAGTGAAGACCCGTGACCGCCCCTCCCTGGCACGGGGCCTCGCAGCCTGGCCAGGTGAGGGGGGCAGGCGCCAGGCCCGAACGCCAGAGGACACGGAGAGCTGCCACAGCGCGTGGACTTGCTCCAGGACACAGCCGGTGGAACTGGGATTCGATTTGGCGTCAAAAGAGCGAGATTAGCCCAGCTGGGGTGGCTCAGTGGTTGAGTATCGACCTACGAACCAGGAGGTCGAGGTTCGATTCCTGGTGAGGGCACATGCCCGGGTTGCGGGCTCAGTCCCCAGTAGGGGGCATACAGGAGGCAGCGGATCCATGATTCTCATTATTGATGTTTCTATCTCTCTCCCCCTCTCCCTTCCTCTCTGAAATCAATAATAAAACAGTATTTTTTAAAAAAGAGAGATTTACCTGCTTTTCCCATTCCATGAAGCTCACCCGAGTCAGGGTTCACAATGTGGATCACTAACAAGAACGCCTACAAGTACCAAACGGACACACACGCGGTGGCCGCATTCATCCCAAAGGCTTTTCCCTCTGACCTTGGACGACGGGTGCCAGACCCGCAGGCGTTCCCCTCAGAGAGGCCACACGGCGCCTGGGGAACGTGGGAACTGCGAGCAGGGAGAAGCCGGCCGCCCGCGCAGGGCACGGTCCTCCGTTCCCGGCCCCTCAGAGGCAGCACAGGCCTCTGGAACGAGCGCCAGGAGCTCTCCCGGGACCATCACGGTCCCTGGCTGCCCGGCATTTACCTTACACTCTCCCGCAAGGAGGAGACGAGAGGAGACACAGTAACACATTGAACTGGGGAACTGCCTTCAGAAGATGAAGGATTCTCCAATGTGCCCCGCACGGTGCCGATGCTTTGTGGACAACGAACGATTTTGGCATCTAATTCACAGAAAACCTACTAGACGGTGTAGCTCTGCCCCAGCGTGGCGCTCCCGAGACAGCCTCGCTCCCTCCTGGAGCGGCTTCGGGGAGCGGGGCCCACCGTCCACTCTGCCGGGGCCTCCACGGGGTTCTGTTGACGATGGTTCTTTCACTCAGAAAACACAGCCGACAGCACCTAATTTTATGGATCCGATATGATTGCTGATAATTCACATGCGTGCACATGGCCCCTGAGAAAACACATTCAATCTAAGCTGTCACATGTGTATCCAATTACCCTCTGTGGGTACTGAGCAGCAACATTTTACTTTCTCCGTTGATACATTAAACACGCACCCTTTTAAAATATATGATAGTGGGTTTTTCTACTCACAAAGCTACACATGTAGGGTGCCCCCAAAAACGTATACGCACTTTGAATAATTATTCATTCCAATGGGCTAAATCTGAAAAGAAAGAAACATCAATTGAGCTATCAGAAAAAAGGGTGTCTACATTTTTTTTTTGGGGGGGGACACCCCGTATTCAAGCAGAAAAGTTGAAAAACACACACACAAAAAAGTACAAAATCAGCCGTCATTTCACCACTCAGCGATTTAGACCGAAGCTAACACGGCGGGGTCTTCCCCGTGAGGCGTCCGTCCACGCCCGGCCCGCCTACCTGCCTCCGTTTCTCCGAGCCGTTTCAAGCTGCACACATGACTTTTTAGCCTCTTTTCCACGTAGAACAACGTGGTGGACACTGGTAAAGCCGTGATCGGACGTGACCTCGCACGGCAGCGGTAGAGGCACGCTTGCTGGAATCAACCCCATATTCCTCCCTGGTTTCCGCTGGTTTCACCTCGTGTGTGTTTGTGTTTTATTTTTTCTGATATAAATGTGTTGAGTGCCTGGGTCCTGCATTTCTGCATGTTCGTTTGATTCCTTCCTTAGGACAAATTCCTAGGCCTGGAATTTCTGGATCAAAGAGTAAGCATATTTTTTAAGAGTTTTAAGAATATGTTTGCCAAACTGTTCTCCGGAAAGCTGGTTCTGGTTTTCTCTCCCACCGGCCGCGTGTCAGGAGGCTTTTATCCGTGGAAGCTGGAAACCCAGTCAGACCCGGCTGTGGCCCATTTCTCTCCCCCCGACCCCCCCTTCCACCAAAGGAATTTAAAACGATTTTCAAATACGCTTAAGCAAAAAGGAATTAGGGCAGCAAAATCCGACACAAATGCTAGTCTATAGTAAAGCCAAAATAAATGACTTTGGGATTAAAATAGTTTTCTGGAGCAGCACGTTAATCATATACATTTGCACAGGCACGGGGAGTGAGCCATAACTCCTCCCGAGTCTAAAAAAATAAATAAAAGACCAGTCCTTCCTTCCCTCTTTGCCCTTTCTCCTCCACACCCTCCAAAAAAATAAAAACAATAGAAAAGGTGGGAAAAATCCAACGAAAGCCTCGTGATCTTTGTCTTCCATTTAGAATGTGACCTGAGCCTCAATTCTCTGTCACAAGGTGCAGGTCCATGTCATTCTGTGTCCGCCAGTCTTTACCTGGAGCCTGCCTTCGTTATGAAAAGTGAGATGCCCTGGCTGGCGTGGCTCAGGGCTTGAGCACTGACCTACGAACCAGGAGGTCATGGTTAGATTCCCCGTCAGGGCACACGCCCGGGTTTCGGTCTCGGTCCCCAGTAGGGGGCGTGCAGGATGCAGTCGATTGATGATTCTCATTTTGATGTTTCTCTCCTCCTCTCCCTTCCTCTCTCTGTAATCAATAAAATAAAAGACCAGTCCTTCCTTCCCTCTTTGCCCTTTCTCCTCCACACCCTCCAAAAAAATAAAAACAATAGAAAAGGGGGGGAAAATCCAACGAAAGCCTCGTGATCTTTGTCTTCCATTTAGAATGTGACCTGAGCCTCAATTCTCTGTCACAAGGTGCAGGTCCATGTCATTCTGTGTCCGCCAGTCTTTACCTGGAGCCTGCCTTCGTTATGAAAAGTGAGATGGCCCTGGCCGGCATGGCTCAGGGCTTGAGCACTGACCTATGAACCAGGAGGAGGTCATGGTTAGATTCCCCGTCAGGGCACACGCCCGGGTTTTCGTCTCGGTCCCCAGTAGGGGGCGTGCAGGAGGCAGTCGATTGATGATTCTCTTTCATTTTGATGTTTCTCTCCTCTCCCTTCCTCTCTCTGTAATCAATTAAAAAATTGTTTTAAAAAAAGAAGGAACGAGACTCAAAAGATTGGTGCAGTTATGGAAGGCCCCAGGGCTAATGAGCAGCAGAACCAGGATTTAGGCCCAGAGATTAAAGAGCAATTAGCAATATGTGATGTTGGATCTGACACTTGAGATTGACCCAAAATGCCAAAAAGTGATCTTTGCTCCGAACAACAGCATAAATCCAATAGCTCACAAATCAGCATTGAGCATGACTAATGGTCCTAAACACGAGTAAAGCCTGAGCAGAGAACACATGCTGTCACTTTTCCCATCTCTCTCTGCATCCACATGCATCGAGCATTATTATTGTTGTTATTATTATTAAACCTGAGCTTCAGCTTCTTCATCTTTAAATATCTTTTAAAAAATATATTTTTATTGATTTCAGAGAGGAAGGGAGAGGGAGAGATAGAAACATCAATGATGAGAGAGAATCATTGATAGGCTGCCTCCTGCACGCCCCCGACTGGGTATCGAGCCTGCAGCCCGGGCATGTGGCCCTTGACCGGAATCCGACCTGGGACCCTTCCGTCCGCAGGCCAATGCCCTATCCAGTGAGCCAAACCGGCCAGGGCTCCTCCGACATTTTAACAGGAGTGTCTAAGGCAGTGGTTCCCAATGTGGGGCACACACCCCATAGGGGGGCAATTTGATGTTTAAGGGAGGCAATTCGAGAATGAGTTATTAACAGTGAATTTTTTGCATTTCTTATGGTTCTAGGGGCCTCATATA